CATAACTACGACCGCCCACACCCACGCTCAGTCAGACACCCACATCCCACACCCCACACCCACACACCTACACCCACACATCTACACCCCCACACCCACTCACACCCTACACCCCACACCCACCCACACCTACACCCATACGCACACCCACACCCACACCCACACTCAGTCGGACACCTGCATCCACACTATGTCCCCCTACTCAGCACTATGATATATAGTAACTGATAAAAAGAATATAGTTTTTTATAGGAGCCGATGAAGTCAGTTTAAGCATGACCGAATTTTTTTTATTTTACATCCTTATAAGAAGATAATCAGCTAAATTGTCCTTTGCACTGTAGATCTGAAGTATATGTCAAGATTAAAATAACATCGAAATAGAACACTGGTGTTATGCATTTTTTCTGAATGTTTTGTGAAGACAATTGGTTTTAACATTATTTAATCATGTAAAATATCAGACAAGGCAAAGGCTCAGAGTTCTTCTCTTTCAATGGCTGAAAATAGCTCTCACCGTTATCGAATTGTTAAAGCTACAGTCAATTCTTTTTAATTCTGGTGCGTACATTTAAGTTTCGAGCAATTAATTTTATTTGCATACGGAAGGAATTTCGCACGTTTTACTTTGTGTAGAGTTTATATATTTGAAGAAACATCATATGATCTTACTCTATGAAAAAGAATCGTAAAATCATAACTTTTATGCAGTAAAAAATTATCATCCATTTAGCTCATTGGTTTTTCATTGACTTAAAAACTTTTTTTGATAGCTCGAATTGAATTCATTCGAAAAATTCTCGATCAATTATAAATTTACCATGAGCTTTATTTTGTAATCGAAAAGGTTTTGAGATTTTTATGAGTATAAGAAGTCTAGTTATGTTTTCTTTTCTTTTTTTTAATATTCAATCAATTACTTTTTCATACCTTTGTTCTTTTTCAAAACATTTGTGAATAAATTATTGAATTTCTTTATTTTGATTTGTTCTAGCATCGTATTTGTCTCGATCCAACAACGCGACGACAATATTCATATTCACAAAGTTCGGTCTTATCTGAAGGCAGTAAGTCATCTAATAAATGTAACATAGACAAAATTTAATAGGTGTATGAAAAATTCCAGAACGCATAGTTTTTTTTTGTTAAGCGCATCATAAATCATCTCATTGTTCTTTTTACACACATGTATATATATAGTTGCAATAGAATGAAAGAGAAAGATAATGCCATGGTAGGCGTTTATATATTTTTTTGGTTAGAATGCTGAAAGATAAAAAGCAAAGTGTGAAGCGAGATGAGAGTAATACACATTGCTACTGTTGAATGTCATTCATTCCAATGTTCGTGTGATGGTTGTTGTTTACGATCAGATCATTATAAGTATTAGTACATGGTTTTTATTTGATTCTGGAATATATTCTTATGGATAAAAACGTTTCAGCGAAATCTGTACCTGGCATCTATTCGACTTCATTAGTTCATGTCGATCATAAAAAAGTAACAACAATGTATCATCCATTAAAACGACAAATAAATCCGAATGAATTAACTGTTGATTCTCAAACATCATATAATTATCGTTCTCGTGCTAATTCAAATATTATTGAAAGACGTTTTTCAAATGTTGAACAACCAACACAAACATCTAAACGTGTGTGTAAGTAATTTTTTAAATCGTAGTAATTATCAAGCAATCAAGTTTGAAATCAATATGAACTAATGGTTATCAGCTATTCATGCTTTGTTTAAATATTGGCACAAGAAAAAAAAATACCTCTTTTTTTTTCTATGTCTATTTACACATTAACTACGTAAAAGTTGTTATTACCATATAAATACGTATTTATAGTTAATACGAAGGGCATAAAAAAAACAGAAAAAAAGGACGTATAAGTACATAAGTCTGTGAGTAAAAGAAAATCGGAATTATTATTGATTCATTCACCCACTCGGAAGAGTGTAAAGAAGAATAGCATTGAGATAAAGAACGAAAAAGAACTTTTGTTTGTGTTGTTATTCTTGTTGTTGTTATTTTTGTTGTTCCTACACCAACAAAAAAAAAAAAGAAAAATTTGCTTTTGCAAGCACTGCACACTATTTATTTGCCCCGTTTTTTCTTCACTCTGTCATCGACATCAAAATTCTACCTACAAATATATGCCGTTAAAACGTATATTCTCATCTCATTCCCATAGTAGACAACAACGTTCACAAAATTCAAATCCTGCAGCAGTATCAGCATATCGTCGAACACTTCCATCTGAAAATAGTAATGATACTACTGCTCAGAATCCTAATGATACAAATGAAGCAATTGATATTGTCGAACCAATTATTGTAAACAATACTCCTGGTTATGCAGCGGATCAAGCACAATATCGATCTTGCCGACGTTCATCAGTTCAATTTCTTGATAAAAAGCTTATTCAATCATTTGCAAGCCCAGTAACATCAACAGTAACAGCAGATGATGATTCTAATGCTGCAGCGAGTGTCTCAGAAGCTGAGTGTGAGTTCGAGTTAGCTTATTTTCTCTCCATTCAGTTCTTTTTCTCATAATCATCATGTCTTTAAATGCATTAGAGAAAAAAGAAAAGAAGAAAAAAGAAGAAGAAGAAGAAGAAGAATAGGAAAAAATTCTAAGGAAAAAGAAAAAAAAGACCAAGGAAAAAGATGTACGAAGAAAATTATATTCTCGTATCATTTGTTGTTTCTCATTCTTGTCTTTCTACCAAACACAGAGAAAACGACATATATATATATATAAAAAACACAAACACCTCTTTTCATCATAGTCGTTTTCTTCATTTCCTCCATTCGATCGGTCTCTGTTTGTGCCTATATAGTTGTGTTATTATCGTATTTTGTCTTCTCAGCGGTCGTTTTTCTTCTCCTTTGACTACGTTTTATTTCTCTCGATTGAGCAAATATGTCAACTACACAGTATGATGCTGATGTTGAAGCTATATCAGATCTTGAAAAAGCTCGATGTCGTCGTAATCGTCGTCCATCTGTACAATTTATTGATAAAAATCTTATACGAAGACGTTCATCTGGTCTTGAAAAACAACCAACACTTACTCAACAACGAACACGTTTACCATCAATTAGCTCCACTGATGAATATGAATCTACATATGTAGATAATCAAAAACCAGAGTGTGAGGATTCATAATCAAAAAATAGAAAGTCCCTAATGAAAAAAGACAAAAAAAACGCATAGTAATAATAATAATAATACTGATGATCAATAATATTTTATTCAATACAAAATACACCAACAGAATATGTTTATTTCTATTGGATAATTTTTATTTTTTTGTTTTGTTTTTTATTTGCAGCAACTGCCAGTGATAGCGATAGCGATGTTGAAGATGGTGCTGGCACTGATATACGAGAAATGCAACATGTCAGTTTTGATTATATGCATAATATAATTCATCTTCTACCCTTTTGATTTTTGTTTTCTTTTAATCTATACAGAAAAATTCATCTGGTTTCAATGATTTTGCTGTTCGACGAATAAAACATGCACCATATGGTCGACGTGAAATTGAAATTGCTGAACAAGGTTTGTCTATTTAATAATTCTATATAAAATAAAAATTATTATTTATTGCTTATTTGAAATTTTTCTTTTATTATCAACTAACATATATTATCTGTTTATCAAACTCTTGTAATTCTTATAGAAAGAATGCTATTTATTAGAAAAATACATCATTATCCTTTATATTGATGAAAAATGCTTTTTTTTCTCTTTTTTTCTAATATGCATATAATAAATTTGTCAAATTTTATTATGTAATAAATAGAATTGGGAAAAAAATAAGAAGTCAAGGCTAAGAAAACATTTCTCATCTGAAATAATGTAATCAATAGAAGAAAAAGTTTTGATGACTTCCGTAGGAAAAAAATATCTTGAGAATATTTAAGTACGAATACAAATTTTGTATAATTTCTCTTCTATTTATAGAAATGCCGGGTCTTATGGCATTACGTCGTCGAGCTGAAGGCGATAAACCACTACAAGGAGCTAAAATTGTTGGTTGCACTCATATAACAGCTCAAACAGCTGTAAGTATTAATCCTTGTTTTTTTTTTATTATTTAATTTAATTTTAATAAAAATAAAAAAACAAACAGGTTTTAATTGAAACATTAATTCGTTTGGGAGCACAAGTACGATGGTGTGCTTGTAATATATTCTCGACTCAAGTAAATATTAATAAATAAATTATTTTTTTTTTTTTTTTTTTGTAAAAGTTCTTGAATATTTTATATTTAGAATGAAGTTGCTGCTGCACTTGCTGAAGCATCAATTCCAATATTTGCATGGAAAGGTGAAAATGATGATGATTTTTGGTGGTGTATTAAAAAAGCTATTGGTGGTGATCAAGGTTGGCAACCAAATATGATATTAGATGATGGAGGAGATTTAACACATTTCTGTCATAAACATTATACAACATTATTTTCAACAATAAAAGGTATTGTTGAAGAATCTGTTACTGGTGTTCATCGTTTATATCAAATGTGTCGTACACAAGCATTAACTGTACCAGCTATGAATGTTAATGATAGTGTTACAAAAACAAAATTTGACAATTTATATTTATGCCGAGAATCAATCATTGATGCTATTAAACGTTGTACCGATATTATGTTTGGTGGAAAACAAGTTGTTGTTTGTGGATATGGTTGGTTTGTTTTTTATATAATTTTAAATAATAAGAAGAATTTGTTAGCAGAAAAATTGTGTTTAGTTGAGTTCGCATGAAAAATTTAGAAAAAAAGAAGAATAGAAATTATTTTTTGTTTCGTTGAAAGAATACTCCTGAAGGTTGAAAACAATTTCAAAACCTATCGTTCTCAAATTCAACAAAAAACAAAATTCCTAAAAACTCTCAAAAATGATTGTACTTAGTACAAAATAGGTACAAAGTTTGAGATCTATAGTAGAGCTGGTCGAATCCGGATCTAAAAATTTATAACTCGATGGACTCTACTCGTCTGAACAATGTGTATGACGTACTAATCATCAGATAACAAAAAGTATCTCGTATCTTCGAGATAACTATTCAATTTTGAGTAGAAAATTTCATTGAGGATATCGAAGTACGGTTCGATCAGGTCAAGATCTTGAAAACGTTCAGTAAATTAGATCTGACTCTGAAAATTTTGGACTCGACAGACTGTCGTCTAGAGCTTTTACTATAAATGAAAATCTATAACAACATAATCTCATTTAATCTTGATGCATTATTTATCTTTTTTTCTCTTCAAAGTTTTATGCCTCTTAAAACATTTCTCGTTATGTAACAATGTAGATTTTTAGATTGAAGAACAAAATTTTTGTAATTTCTTTTGTTGTTGATGATGAGTTTAATCTTTCTTTCTTTTTTTAAGTGTAATAATAAAGAACTAAATTCTTTTTTATCATTAGTAGATGATAGATGTGACATTCTGAGTTGATTCAGTCATAATTGAGTAATGTTAGTATTTATTTATTGCTCTCATCGATTTGTGCAGAAACGAAAATGTGGTTTATTTGTAAAAGAAAAAATGTGCAATATGATACTTTTTGATCAAAACGCCCTTGAAAATAACATTTGTTTTGTCATTTTTATAAAATTAAGTTATTAGAAAATTAAAAAAAAAAGTAGTCTAAGCTAGTTTTATTACATCTTCCCATTTATAGTAAAAGCTATTCATCTTAAACTTTCTTGTTATTCAGTCCTAATAACTATCAGTTGACTTTTATTTGACATAATAAATAATGTACCAGTTCTAAGACAACAGTCAATGAACTCCTCGACATCTAAACAAATTGATTCATTTTGCGTTAATATGTTCGACTAAAATTTTTCTATAATCTAGAAAAAATCGAGTATATAACTTAATTAAAACAGAAGTTAACAAACAAAAATAAACAATAAAATATTTTTCTTATAAATATACAAAAACAATACTGATTGACACAATCAGACAACGTTTGTTAAGAATTGATCAATATTTGTTATCGAGATATATATATATATATTACAGTTTATCTATGATTGGAGTCAATTACTTGTTTATTTTTGTTCTTAGGTGAAGTTGGCAAAGGCTGTTGTTCAGCATTACGCGGTATGGGTTGTTTTGTTTATGTAACAGAAGTCGATCCCATATGCGCATTACAAGCATGGTATATCAATTAATAAATTTCAAATAAATATTTTTTTTTCTATGATTTATGTTTTGATTTATTAGTATGGAAGGATATAAAGTTGTTCGTCTTGAAGAAGTTATTAAACAAGTTGATATTGTTGTTACAGCATCTGGAAGTAAAAATACAATAACAAGAGAATTCTTAGATAAACTTAAAAATGGTGCCATTCTTTGTAATATGGGACATTCAAATACAGAAATTGATGTTGTATGTATTTTAAATAGAAAATTATTGATCAGTTTATTTTATTAAATGTTTTTGTTTTTTTATTATTTAAGAGCTTTTTACGTGAAGCATCACAAAGTGATTTACAAGTTGAACGTGTTCGAACGAATGTTGATCATGTTATTTGGCCTAATGGTAAACGAATTGTACTACTGGCTGAGGTACAAATAATAATTTCTGCTTTTTTTTTTCAAGAATAATGATTTGATTTTAAATTTTCTATTCATTTTAGGGTCGAATTATGAATTTATGTTGTTCAAGTGTACCATCATTTGTTGTTTCAATTACAGCTGCTACACAAGTATCATGAAAAATAATTTATTCTATATTAAAATAAAATATTAACAAAAAAAAATTTTCTAGGCATTAGCTTTGATTGAACTTTATAATGCTCCACCAAATCGATACAAATGTGATGTTTATTTATTACCGAAAAAAATGGGTATGACTTTTTTTTTTCTCTTATATGATTTTTTTAGAGATTCATGTAATTATTTTTTTTTATAGATGAATATGTAGCAAGTCTTCATTTACCTGCATTCGATGCTCATTTAACAGAATTAACTGATGAACAGTGCAAATATTTGGGTATTAATAAAGCTGGACCATTTAAGCCAAATTATTACAGGTTCGAATTAGATAATAATTATTATAAATTCTATTATGTTATGTTTTTGTTTTCTAGATATTGAAGGGCTTCTATCTTCCATCCATCAAAATATTGGCAGTAATTCGATCTCTCTCTGTCTATCTTTTTATTGTTCTTTTTATTCTCTTTCAAACAAGATTTTATTTGTGTGTTTGTCAGGATTTTTTTTCCTTTTTTTTTCTTTTGCGGAAAAAAAAGAAATATTATCCTTTATTTCGGTTTTTCTTTACCTGTGTGTATGTGACTGTAGATCAATTACATTAACTAGACAAGAAAATGGTACTATTGAGCATATTGAAAAAATTACGTCGAAAAGAAAAAGAAATGCGTTTATTACTTGTTGGACTTGATAATGCAGGAAAATCGACTATTTTATCGAGGATTAATGGTGAAGAAATTGATTCTGTTGCACCAACACTTGGTTTTAATATAAAAACATTTAATTATGCTGACTATGTACTTAATGTTTGGGATGTGGGTAGGTTGAGAGATATCTTAACACATTTATTGTTCTAGATAAGTTGATATATTTGTTGTAATGTAACATGATTTGGATTGTTTAATTCCTTTTTTGATGTTCAGATACTGCACAATATTTGTATTTGAACAAGATTACTTATATATTAGGAAATATGTATATATTAATTCACCAATGATTAGTATGATATTATTCATGTTTGAAATAGAGTCTCTCATTAGATTTAAATAAATAATAAATAACACTTTCATACACAAAAATGATGCACAATATGTAAATATTAATTGATGTAAAAGAAAGTATATTCGTTTTCGAGCGTCTATTATAGAAGAAAAAGTTTTGAATAAGATACTGAATTCTATTCGAAACTTGACTTCATATAATAACATAAGACTAAGTCCAAAGATTATCTTTATTGCTTGTAATATTTTTTGTTTTATACATTCTTGAAATTATTGACAGTACTCATAGACATATTTGTGTTTATATTTAGGCGGTCAAAAATCTCTTCGATCATATTGGCGTAATTATTTTGAAGCGACTGAAGCAATTATTTGGGTTGTTGACAGTGTTGATAAAATGCGATTAGGTGAATGTCGTTCTGAACTTCATGAATTACTTAAAGAAGAACGTTTAATGGGTTCATCACTTCTTGTATTTGCCAATAAACAAGATATTGTTGGCGCATGTTCATTACAAGAAATTCGTACATTATTAGAACTCGATTCCATACATAAACATCATTGGACAGTTATGCCATGTTCAGCAATAACTGGTCAAAATTTGTTGGAAGGTATTGATTGGCTTGTTAATGATGTTGCTCAACGCGTTTTTGATCCTGATTAAAAGATTACAATTTTCTTTTTTGCTATCATATATTCATATAGGTATCTGTGATTGATCTCATTAAAAATGAATTTAGAAATGTTTTTTTTATGAAATAAAATATGTCTGTAAGAAAGACTATTGGTATTATGATTAATTTATGAAATTTTCAGTTGACAGAACTACCAGATCAATTAGGATATTCTTTGTTAGAAGAAAAAAAGGATTCAATAAAAGATCAATAGAACTTTTTTTGTTGTGTATGCTTATGAAAGTATTATCAATTGAATATGTATTCAAATGAACAATTGAAAAAATTTAATTCATAGATTTTCTTTTTGAATATTATCTAATATTAGACTTTGAAATAATAAACAACTAGAAATATGATAGAAAGAAAAAGCAAACTTCGCTAATGATTTTGTCCTTGTTTGCTAATGTGTATTAAATTTTTCCGAGAAACTGTTAATTGAATTATTAAACTCTCATTAAATCATTTTCTTGAAAAGAAATTTTGTAAATAGATAGAATTATTTTAATAAATATAATTGAAATATCAAAAATGTTATTGAAATAAAACTAAAACTTGTTACATCATAATAGAAATGTATCTTATCTTGTTTTTTTTTTCTTTATGAACATTTAATAGAATAATGCGAGAAAATCATTGCATTAATGTTAGTAATCTCAATTGTTCACATAGAAGAAAACTAAGAAAGTGTACCATATGTTATAAATAATCAAAATAAATATTGGTTATTGAGTAAGCTGATTATGTCGTGACATAAGTCAACGATAAACAAAAGCAGATAGCATATGCTAATAGAAATATTTTTACTGTTTTGTTCGTTTTAATATAGTAATCTTCTTTTATTGACTTATTAGTAAGAAAACAAAGAAAAACTTCAAGAATATTATTTAATCATCTTCCTTTTTAAAATGAATATTAATGAATACTTACATGAAGCTGTTTAAATGTTGATAAAGAGCAAAGAAAAGAAAATTTGTAGATTGACATTGAAAAATAAACAAAATATAGTAAATATACTCTTCCATTTCTTTCTTTCTCGTTTCTTTTGGTTCTATCATTACAATCGAAAAAAAAGCATTAAATCATTACTAATTCAATATGTTGATACATCATTATAATCTTTATAAACATTAAATTGTTTTTCTTTTTCTCAATATGTGCATATAAATGATGACTTTCGATCACTATTTTGATTTCTAAACTTGGATTTATAATGATCATCAGTCATAGACATCATGCTGAGTACTCAAACTGATCAATCTTTCGTCTCATTTTGATATGCATACACATATGCCGGGAGTTCGTTAGTTAGTTAGAAGATAGTGCATAGGGGAGAAGAAGAAGAAGAGATGAGAGAGAGAGAGAATAGTAGCAGTTGTTATATTTCCTTCCTATTGATGTTGATCGAGTGCAACTGCCTTGTCTCTCTCTCTCTCTCGTGCGCTCTTTCTCTCTTGTGGAAACATCGATTTAGTTATTTCTTTCCCAAACGGGCGGAGTTTTGCTTTATATCATTTTCTTTCTTTTTACATTTGTCTCCTATCGTATCTCCATATTCATTGACACTTCGGTTTTGCATTGCATGTTGACACCCGTGTCGTTATTATTTAGCTAATAGCATCGTTCCGATCATCAATCGACATCTTTCAAGGTAATCGTGTCAATTTTCTCTCGCTCGAATGACAAGAATAAGATCGAAACCTCCTCACATCTGTATATGATGATGTGTTATCTAAAACTTTAATTACCGTCTATAATTTATCAAATATAAATAGTCAAGGATCGTTCATGGTAAAAGAGAAAAAAAAAGGTATTTTCCTAATTTTCTCAGTTAGATATATCCATGCTGCTCTATGCTATAAAGTATGTTGTAACTGACAAAATGTCACACATGAGGATTGTATCAATATGGACGTGCCAGTGGGCATCATCACTGCTGGTTTTGTATATGTACCAAGGTTGAGCTTCCCCTTTTTTTTGTTTCTAATATTGATATACTTCCACGAACGCAAAAGACAGATACACATCATCATTCCTTGTTTACACTTAGATACGTCATAAAAGAAATACTGAGAGAGAGAGGAAGAAGCCTTTAATGAACAGTGAATGCGCTGAATGATGGATGGCTGTGTAGAATACTACTGCCATTGGTATTTGTCAGAGTCGATTAACAAAACCCATTGTAGTTACTTTACTACATGTCACTCTTCATTTTCTAGTGTATATAGATATTGTGCAATAAGTGAGACGTCGACTGAACAAGTAACCACATGTGTTCAATCGGCTAGTTTACTATCTCAGATTACTACTACTTTTTCTAGACTATACTATGCTTTACTAACTCTTTTTATTGTTGATAATGGCTTGATGTTCTTTCTGTCTTCCACTTGATTTTTGTGCTATTGGGAATGATAAAAAAAAATTGTTGTTTGCTCGTATATGATAACAACATGATCCTCCTGTTCTCATCACTAGTACATTACCAGATGGTGTCGTTTTTTTACTTGTTAATTGGCTTTTTTCTGTTGCATATACATACTTGTACATCAACTTTATCCATCACTGTCTTATTTACACTATTCTATCAATTGTAAAAACTATTCGTTAATTAGAAAAAGAAAAGCATTTTATGCCAATCTATTGTCTTGATCAGATTGATTGGTCTCTAGTAAAATCGAATTGTAGAAAGCATTTTTGATGATTGACTTTTTCTTTGTTCTTAATGAAGAGCTCATAGAGACAATGTGTAATTGATCTACAGATTTCCTTCATAAAAGAAGAAAAAAAGAAAACAACAGTAACAGTCGTTCGTCGTACTTGAAAAAAAATGCGTTAATGACGTCTTGGTAGAAGAAGTAGTGCTTAGTGGATAAATATACACATATAACAACAACATTAGTACTAGTAGTAGCATCATTCTCAATATGCAACTGATTATCTGTATAACTATAAAAAAAAAGAATAAGGGAAAGAATATGAGAATATAACATAGAAGACATTGAGATGATTGATAGTAGTAAATTTTTGAAGGTGTGTATGAATGTGCGTTTTACAACTCTTTACATATTTCCACTCGACAGTGACGAGAAAAGGAGAGAGAGAAAAAGAGAAGAAGCAGAAAAAGAAAAGAAAATAGGGAACGTGGCGTCTATTTAGTGTGCCTATATATTCGATCGTGTCGTTATTGTTTCATAATCGTTATAAGTGGTGAAGTGAAGCTCTTTCACTCACTCGATTAAATGAATGTATGTATGGTATCGTACAAAAGAGCACTAGCGAGAGAGAGAGAAGAAGAAGAGAATTGAGTGAGTGTCACGAACGACAAGCTAATCGAAAATTGAATTATTTTTGTTTTTAGGCAAACAATAATACCAATGATGAGTCGTAGTCTTGTCCTCTTCAGTAAGTTTTTATATCAATATATTCTTAAAAAAAATACTAATCAGATTTTTTAATTTGTTTTCTTTTTTTCTATGCAGTTATCTTTATCATTCTTAAAATTGTTCATAGTCAAGAAGAACAATTTATTCAAACAGGTATTCATTATATTTACAAGAGAAAAAGAAAAAAAATCCGCAACCTATTTCATACATTTAGATAATCATATTTTATCATCATCATCATCATTATGTACAATCAGTCGACCAGGTTTTGGTCAATTAGAACATGTACAAATAACATCTTATTCAATAAATATACGATTTAAAAA